CCTAAGTTGATTTCTTTGAGTTGATCAACAGTAGCCTGCCCCCCGTCTTCTAGTGTTGGTGGAGCTTTCTCGATATCATCTGGTTGTTCATAGTCAGGTTCTTCTTCAACAGTGATGTGGTATGAAGTAACACAAGACGATTCGCCAATGCCTTCTATTCTATCCACTTCTGCTGATTGATTAGTAAATACAATGGTTCGCCTTCGAGCTTTCAATGTAACATCATTGGTGACATCTATCTCTGTCTTATGTTTCATTCGCGAAGGCACTAGGCTCTGAACCTCACTATTATTCACCACGTCGCTGTTAGCTTCTTCTGACTTCACAATCTTGCTGTTTTTTAGTGGTGCATCATGGATAGTACCAATTTGAGAAAATACTGACTTTCGAGATTGAGGTTGTGCAGATTTTCTTCCTTAGTCATGAAAGCTCATTCTGCTAAAAACAGAGTTACGAGGCAAATTGCTGATATGAGAACTTGAAACATTTGATTCTCGGCTTGACAACCTGTTGAATACAGATGTTCGATCGCATGGAGCTCTTATACGGTCAAAGACTGATTTTTGATGCCCAGTCTGCTGATCTTGTTCATCCTCAACTTCTTCAAACCCAATGTATGAGGTGCTTGACTTCTTATTCCTCTTTGTGATTTGAATTCGAAGTGGCTCAGAAGCTACGAAACCGAGACCAGACTTAGGTGAAATGATTTTATGCCCTTGATCTTTCAACTTCTTCTGTGTCTCATTGAGGCCGTGCACCTTCTCACCGGTGACCTCAGCATTCAGTTTTCCAAGGCTTGCAGGATTTGTAAAATCATACCCTGACTTAGCTAAGAGTTGGTATGCTTTAGGATCGAATCCTTCGTCGGTTCTTTATTTTGGAAGTGATAAATGATCAACCATAGATTAAGAAGGCCGCACGAACCCTTTTAACGGAGACTTGGAAGGCGAAGACTTCTGAATCTTAGGGAGAGGAAGAGTTAACTCTCCTTTAAGCTTTTGCATATCTTCTTTTTCCTTGGTTTGTGACATCTTTAATTTAAATTCCTTAGTTTCAATTATCTCGATAACAGGTGCCTGCCCTTCTTGTCGCTGAGATTTTGGAACATACTTTAAAATAGGTTTCATCCGATGTGCTTTTATCGAGACCCCTCGCGTTTTAGCTACCTTTACAATGTCTGTCACTGAAACGTCTAGTGGATCACTTAATGCTTCTTTTGCTTTTGTAGATTGAATCTCTTGTGTAGACGGAAGGCTTGGGATGGGCACTTCCGAAGGTGTATCATGATCGATATAGAACTTGGCATCGGCAAAATGAGATTCTGCCTCTGTAAATGGCTTATGATCCGCCACAACCGTTTGTACGCCATTTTTGTAGAATTTGAAGCACTGATGAAGAGTCGATGGAATGACGCCATTACTATGTATCCAAGGCCTTCCCAACAACAAATTGTAGGATGTCTTTGCATCAATCACATGGAATAAGGTTTCTGCTTGGAGCTCGCCAATAGTCAGCTTTGCCCGAATCATGCCGATAGCTCTCTGTCCTCCTTGGTTAAAACCTTGAATAATAAGACGGCTACGTGATAACTCGTCAATTGTGATGCCAAGATTTTTCATCGTAAATTTTGGCATTAGATTCACCGCCGAGCCACCATCAACAAGAATACGAGTAACTCTTCGTCCTTTTATGTAACCGGAGACGAAGAGAGGACAATTGTGCGGCTTCGAACCCAACTGAAGATCCTCGTCCGTGAAAACAATTGGTGCACAACATGACTCAAACGTACCTCTGACCACTTCATCATCATCAGATTTTTCAATGATGGCTGTATTATGGTTCTCTACAATCTGGACTTCATCTTGATCCTCGTTCTTCTCATCATTAAGGCTTGTTTTCTTAGTTGAAACCATGTAAGTTGTTACAACTTCGTCATTTAGGTATCCTTTTGTAAAGAACTCTTGCAAAGTAATAGGCTTCTGACTCTTTTTGCTTATAGAGGTGTGTTTAGTTGACTGTGTCTTCTTGACCCATTTTCTGTTATGGCCAGACTGTTTATGGTGATATTGGGGTTTCTTCTTCCTTTGCCCTTTGTCAGAATAATTAGTCTAAAAAATATCAACTTGTTGCTTTCGTGGTTTCTTTCTTGTCACCAGAGTCCATCATTCTTCATCATCCTGAGGAAAAACCCTTCCAAATGTTGAAATGTCACGTACACTCCCTTGGCCAATATAGATTGGGATTGGTTCCAATGAACCAAACTGGATAGTTATGCAAGATACCTCCGAAGTTAAAGGTTGAGAACGAGCACTCCCCACGACAGAGGTTGTCAAAGTAGTAGTAGTATGATTTGAAGTTACAACTTCGTCTGTATCCAACAAGATTTTTCCTTGTTTTGCCAGATTAATCACCACCTCCTTGAAGATAAAACACTTCTCAATTGGATGACTGATAATGCGATGATATTTGCAGTATTTTGGATCGTTGATTCGTCCTATCTCTGGAGGACGTTTGCATTCAGGGAGTTCTATAACTTTACTTTCAAGTAAACATTCCAAGATGCCAGGAACATCGGAATCGGGGAAGGGGTATTCTTTCTTCTCTAACTCCTTTAGCGTAGGACGCTGTCTTTCCCTCTCTTGAAACTGGCGAGGCTTTTTATCATCCTTCTTGTCATCTTTAACAGATATCTTGATTGGGGTGGTTGAGATAGCCATTGAATCTTTAGCCGCATTTTTTGATGACTTGTCGCCCTTCTTCCAGTCCTTCTTATCTTTGCGTGGTTCTATAGTCACGGACTTTTGCCGTCATGGGATTTCATACTGATCTCCATGTCATGGGCACGCGTAGCCAATTCCTCAAATGTGCGAGGTTTTATGCCTTGCAGAATGTAGAGCAGGCCCCAATGCATTCCCTGCATACACATCTCCACAGCAGATACTTCTGACAAACGGTCCTTGCAGTCAAGACTGAGGGCTCTCCACCGATTAATGTAGTCGATTACAGGCTCATCCTTCCATTGCTTCGTGTTAGTCAACTCTATCATACTAACAGTACGACGAGTGCTATAGAACCTGTTCAAGAATTCTCGTTCCATCTGGTCCCAACTATCAATTGATTCTGACTTTAGGTCAGTATACCACTCGAACGCGTTTCCTTTAAGGGACCGGACAAACTGTTTGACTAGTAAGTCCCCCTCTGTTCTGGCATTGTTACAAGTCTCGACAAAATGGCAATGTGTTGCTTGGGGTTACCTTTTCCGTCAAATTACTGAATCTTCGGAGGTTGGTATCCTACATGCATTCTCATACTGTCGATTCTCCTTGTATAGGGCTTTGAGTACATGAGAGTGCTCTGTGAGACACCACCATATTGAGCTCGGATTGTATTCGTTATCATATTTTGCAATTGTTCGACAGATAATGAAGAGACTGAAGAAGAGGTATGATTGGTTTGACCAGTCGCCTGTTCTATCCACGGCGTCTGGTTTTGACTGGTCGCTTATTCTGTCACCGGCGTCTGTTTGGGATTCTCCCTGTGAGTACCTTGTGCTGTAGAATTAGGATTCTCCGTTAGTATTACTGTGGAAGATGTAGGTTTCCCAGACGGTGGTGGTGTGAAAGTTGCACGATTCCCGGATGGCATTGGTGTTTCACCGAAGGTTTGAACTTCCAATTTATTCATTAGTGTAGCGATTTGCAAGTCCTTTTCTTCAATAGTCTTTGTGAGGTTCTCAATGGAATGAGCCATAGTTGCTAGTTGTTCCTCCACCGTAGCAGCTCCAGTCATCATAGCAGCAACCACATCTGAGTATGATAGGCCTTGAGAATCCACGTTCCTTGAAGTGATTGATTGCTCCGAAGTCTGACGTGGTGACTCTGGGGGTGAACCGACACTAGAGTGAGCATCATAGATAGAACGAAGTGAATCTGGTGGTGGAGCCTCCTCTGGAACAATGTCAAGGGTTTTGACATGTTGAGTTTTCACGTTCGCCGGTGTTGCAGGATTAGTTTTCACCACATCTTGCTGAAGTTTGAATGACGCCATCGCCTGGGACTTGCTACGTGTCACAGGGCCCTTCAAGGTACTTCCATCGCTTAATTTGGTCTTCGTGCCACTTTTCATGGTGGCTTTAGCGTCGACTTTTGCAATAGCGATGTTCTTTTGGGCTTTCTTGTCTGTCTGAATCTTAGGGGGAGCCATAGAATCTGATAGAGAAGAAACTTGATGGTAGGAGAAAGAGATGAGATGCAAAGGTTGTCCCACCGGGCGTGCCACAAATTTGTACACACAAATTTTGTAAGTCTGCAATAGAAACAAAATATGGAGCAAAATAGAATTTTATTAATTTATGAATGTGGAGTACAGTCCTTTGTAATATCTTTTACAAAAAAAGAATGGTCCTCTGATTCGATCTCCTTGTTTTTGGTTGGTTGGATCCAAGGGCTGCACAAGCTTGTTCTTGAATCACTGTGGAATTTGATGAAGAACGGCACGTTGTTGGATGTGCTTGATGTTCTTCGCTTTTGGGTTTCGATTCTGAATTTGTGTCTGAATTCTGAGTCTCTGGATTTTTGAGTCTCTGAACTTCTGAATTCTGAATTTGTGTCTGAATTTGTAAACTTCTGAATTCTGAATCCTCTCCCCTTTTTTCTTCCTCCAAGCCTCTATTTATAGGCTTCTTGGATTAATAGGATGATGACACGTGTCATCTCCTGATAAGGATAAAACTATAACTGGGCCGAGCCGGTTATATTGTGATAATTATCCTTAAAGATAATTATTCAAAATATATTTTATTAAGAATAATTATCGTTTCATTTAATTATCTGGGCTGGGCTAATTAAATAATTTAAGTGGACCAAGTCTGGTAAATTAAATAATTTATTTAAACATTAGGCCTATAGTTAATGGGTCATTCGTTAAAACCAAAGCCCACTAAATTTTAGTGTCTACAATCGTGAAAAGAAAAAGAGGGACGAAGAGAAAGAGAAGCAAAGGCGGAGGGTTACGTGACTGGTACGACACCTTCTTCTTCTTCTTCTGTTTCATGATTTTTAAGCTATTCTGTAAGGTTTCTAGGGTTTTCAGAAGAATTGGTTGTCGTTATTTTCCTTGTGTAATGTTGTTCCTTTTATGCATCCTTTGCAAAGACAAGGCTGTTGTTTACGAATCAACGATTGATTTAGAATCCATTTTTGATTTAGTAAAATATCCCCCTTAGCAAATAATTTGCCTTATTATTATTATTATTATTATTATTATTTTTTCGTTTCTTTTTTTTTTTTTTTTTTTTTTTTTTTCTTTTTTCTTTTTTTTTTTGATGATAAATTCTCTCTCTTATCATTTCATTTGTATTAATGTTTCTTTTAGATTGCCACCACTAACTCATCAAGATGCGTAAACAGGTTACTGAACGGCCGTTTCTTGTTCCCCTGCTTTGGTTTTAGCAAATAATTTGCCCTTACTTATTTTTATTTTTATATTTTGAGTTTTGATGATAATAGTCTCTCTCATTATAAATGTTTCTTTCAGTTTGCCACCAACATGTATAATCACCTTACGGTCCTTAATTACTAAAGTGACTTCTGTGGCTGCTGGTGGCACCGGTTTCGCCTTTCTAATCTGTATCGGGTATGTTTCACTCTGCAATTCAGATCTGAATTTGACTAGTTTAGATTGCTCGCTATGCTGAGCTTATTTATTTATTTGTTTGCTTTTTGAAAAAATTCGGTGGTTGATAGAGGTCTGAGTTCTGTGGAGTTTATATCGGTTTCTCTTTCAACTAATTTTATATCTGGCCTGCACTTTTTGATTATATTTTTAGACTTTTTGGTGCATGTTTGCAATCCTATATTAGCATTGCTTTTCTTTGTTTTCACCTTGTTTGAAGTTATTAAGGCTGAAGCCGGAAAAATTGAGCAATCTTTCTTTCTTAATGATTCATGTGTTATTTTTGTGATAGGCATTGCTTTTATGCAGCATCAAAGTTTTTTGTTTTTTGTTTTTCCTCTCTCTCTCTTTAGTACATTGGATTTAGTTTTTATTACTATACTGATACAATAGATGTAGATTTCTTTTGGTTTCAACTTTTACATCTAAAGGGTGCATGTTAAATAATCAATATTATTGTTGCAACATTGATTTATAGCTTTTTCTGTTCTATAAGGAATTTTATATTTCCGCCTGTAATTTTTTTTTCTGCTCTGTTGACAACTTATATTAATACTTGTACTGATATAGTGTTCTTAATTTGTAAATAGCTATATATAAGAGTTGTGTTGGAACTCTTAATTTGTATATAGCTATATCTAATAATTGTGTTGGAATAATTGTTGTATTTGGTATACTGTCTTACATTTTAATTTGTTTTTATTATAGGAGCTTTAAAATGGCGGAGTGCCCACAAAAGGTTTGTCATTTTCTCTTGAAACTTGAATATATATATATATATATTTATCTATTAGTCTCACCTTGTATCAAGTGGATGGTTGTAGATGAAAAAATTACTTAATTTAATGTTCATGCTCTTTGCTAGTGCGCTTGTTGAATTTATTTTACGCTTGCCCATTAAACCTTTTTCTTCCACTGCTATTTACTTATTCCTAGGTGGCAGCCAACATGTGATGTCACTTTGTATCACATCATGTGGCCTTAATTAGCACAATGATCCACGTGTCTAACTCGTGCAACTTCCTCCAAAATTACAATTCCCCTTTCCTACTTGACATATGGATGATTACATTCATAAAAGATTTGGTCCACTTGAATTTTGACGTGTGTTTTTCATAATGCTCTATATATACAATGTCATGGCTCTACAATTTGTTTTTATGTATTCGCACCTATCAGACCCATCTTCACTCTTTCAGCTTTGACAACTGATCTTAGAGCATTGTAATTCTAGCCTGCGAATTTTGGAACTTGCTTCTACTACATGTGTGCAATCTGGCTTTGCATGATTTCAACTTTTGGGAAAATACCAAACATGACTTTACCTAGACACATCCTCCCCTACTAGTTTAACAAGTGGATAGAATCCATTCTCTTTCAACCATCTCGTGTCAAATGAAATCGCCTTTTAATCCTAGACAAAGACTCGTGGAAATGTAACAGTAGAACTCTATGATATGATCCCACAATTGAAAGGCGATGTAATGCATTGTTTGGAATAGCTCGGACCACTCAAATGTACAAAAAGCCTCTCTCTAACCTCGCCATTATTGTATTCCCCTCACCTCTGTTTTGAATAGCTGTATGCTTAGAAGCTTTAAAAATTCTAGGCATGCGCGAAAGCAAATCAAATTTATTGACAGAGATCAGTAAAGTCCCGGTTCAAATCGTCCATTAACCACCATTGCCATACATCCCTCTCTACCTCTCCATGCTTACATTGTAAAGCCCATCTACTCAAATTATCAGCTACTTTTTTGAAAGTAGGGCTGCAAGTGAATCTATTTGCTCATGAATAATAGCTTATGTTCGGCTTGTCATAAGCTTGTCTAGTGCATTTGTTAAGGAAATGAACTGAGCTAGAACACATTTTTCAAGCTTATTTAATGAATGACTAAGCCCGAACAATGCTGAGCTCGGTTCCTTAAGCTCGTGAATAAAATATAATGTAAGCACAGCCTATGAATGTATACCATTCAGCTATTCAACTACATTCTTTGATTTAGACAAAATCTCGTTGAGGTATTTTTTTTTGATAAATAAAAAATGTATTACAAAGCGTTTAAGAGGGGAACGCATCCCGTAGACAACACAAAGGAGGATCCCAAAATCAAAGGTCCTATAGATCTAAGGAACCCAAAAAGTCAACAATCTCGTCTAAAAGGATCTTTTATTCCACTACTTCCAAATGCACCACCAAATGCAAAAGGGTGCCACCCTCCAAACATTATAGGTGTGGGATCCCATGGAACACCCTCTCTTAGTGTCAATTAAGCCTTTCAAAGATCGAGGCATAGCTCACTGAATGCCAAACAAGCCAAAAATAAGACTCCAGCATTCGTGAGCCATGAGGCAATGCAAGAGGAGGTGATCCATTGACTCTCTATCCTTCTTACACATAAAATAACAATTGACAGTAACCTGTATACTACTTCTCAGGTTATCAAGCATCACAATTTTACCCCAAACTGCAGTCCAAACAAAAGGGTCATTTTGAGAGGAGCCTTCGAGTGTCAAACTGTCTTCCAAGGAAAATCAACCCTTGAAAAATTGGAAAGGCAACAGTACGAGGAAAGGACATCAAATATAATTTATCTACCCTGAGAAGAGGGCAGCCAAAAAAGGGAATCAGGACCTCCATCATCCATCTCCTATCTATATAAGAGATCCAAAAACCTATAAACGTTAGCCAATTCCCATTCTTGAAAATGTTGTTGAAAATGCACATCCCATAAAAAACCTCTCCCTATCAAGCCAATAACAGTTAGCAATAAAGCTATATATATCAACGGCAATCATGAAAAGCCTAGGAAAGAGACGAGCCAAAGGACGATCACCACAGCCTAAGTCCTCCCAAAATCGAATGCCCCTACTGTCCTGAACTCTGAATCTGATGTGTTTAGAAAATTCATCCCAACCCTTCCAACACACACACAAAGTGGCACCCCTCCTCCACAACCGATGACGCTTACCTCCAAATCTTCACAACCACTTATCGAGGAGGGCCCTATTAAAAGACACCAACCTCCTAATACGTACCTAAGCCACCCAACGAAGAGGCTGCTTACACGCTTGTTCCCAACGGACAATAGATTGTTCAGCCTCACCTCACCTCTTACAAACTGTATGTTCAACCATTTCCCTCACTTTGAGGTTAACAAGAATGTGTAACCTCTAATGGTAGCATTTTTAGTGAAAAAAAGTGAACCATCCTAGGCACGTTAATTTTCTAGATTCCTTTCTACCATGATGAAAACCCCTGTGATCACCACTGTCAGCACCCCCAGCACTTAGGTCATGCCTTTTGCATTAATTGCATGGTTAGTCTTTAAACACTTTTAATAGTGAACATTCCATTGATGGAAGCCACTAATGTTTAGAATCTGATCCACAATATTCTCCAATAAGTTGGTGGAGGATTAAATCAACATCTCTTCTATTGATTGATAAAATCCTCCCTAAGACTGCAGTTCTTGAAATTGACAAAGAGGAGCACCCCGTTACTCAATCTGGAATTTGTACTTTTGCAGTCAAAACTGAATCTAGAATTTGGTGCCCTCTGATGAAAGTGTTCTAAGCTTCAAAGATCACTCAATCCATCACTTCCTTCAATTTAGAGTAAGGATTTCAGCTATTAATTTGTATATACTCCCCCAGTCCCCACCAAACTACTAGGTGTAAAGTTCTTAATGTCAAACCCCCCTTCCACCTCACCTAAAGAAATGGCATTGAGGCACTTAATGAAACTACCATGAATATGAAATGAGTTAATTGCATCCATTACCTCTTGCCTAACCACCTCCTAATGAACTCTTATCTCTTTAATGCAAAGCACACTTTACTCTTTCGCGAATGATCTCTCCAAATGAACACTATCATGCACTGAAGTCAAATCAAACCCAAGGTTAGATTAATATCATCATTTCCTTTCTTTTTTCCTCAGTAATCATTCAAACACAATGAGAGGTTAACACTTTCCCTTCTTTCTTCTCTTCTCTCTAACTAATTTTATTTTATTTTATTATATTTTCTTCTATATTACTATACCAAACATAGTCTAGGAAGCACAAATATGGATATGGGATACAGATACGACGCAATATTGTATGGTGACAAGGCAAATCTGAAAAAAGAAGAAGCAAGGTTTTGGTATGGTATGATACGTCAATAAAAAAAATTATAGTTATATATATATATATATATTAAATTTTTGTCAAAATTTTAAAATATTATGAATCAAAATATAATTATTAACATAACATAGGAGTTAGTTTCATAGCACATAAAAGAATCATCCATGGTCATCCCTTAATAAATTTAGAACTTTTCTTAACAATTATACTATGTTATTATTGTTAGAAAAGTTGCACGAGGTATTTGAGGTATCAGATGTGCGTTAAAAATTAAGAAAATATATTTTAAAATCATGGATACGTTTAAGAAGTATTAGACACATATTTGCGAGTATCTGAGGAGTATCAGTATCTGATGCAAGTACGTCGCTCTAGTAGAAATATCCGTGCTTCCTAGAATGAATGATGGAATGCAAGTGTAAATGGCAATGCTCATCCCCTACGTTCTCTATGTGTATCCTCTTCACCTCTAATGAGAACAACACCATATTTAAATAGAGAAAAGGGTGTAATTGGGACATTATTGGGAGGGAAAGACCATAGACTTCAGTCTGAGGCCCATGCTTAACAAGACGTCTTATCTGTTTAGATTTCCAAGAATGAAAAATGAGTGGTTCTTGAAGTTGACAATTGAGTAAGGATATTCTACTCAACTTTACTAGAGAAGGAAAAGTGATTATGAATAAGCAAATTTTGCTCTCTATTACCTCCTTTGTGGACCTCTTCTTGGCTTGGTAAGACACTTTCCTCCATTGGATTTGGGAGGACCAAGGATGAGGCATGTGTTTGCTTTCTGAAGGAGCTTGAAATATGTTTCTTTAAATAGTTTCATTTTCCCCTTTTTTCCTCTTTTTGGTAGGTAAGTTACCCTAACAATATAGCTAGCTGGAAGATTAGTTTAGTGAGTTCTTGATCTTGGGCCCCACTTAGAAATGGTTCCTTCTATTTTAAACTTTAGTTATTATTTAATGACCATGCTGTTGGGATCATATGCCCTACAATCCAATTATTTATTATTTATTCGATATTTTATTAATAAATATGATATTCATGCATTGGGCTTTACATATATTTGTATGAGGTGCATTATAGTCCTCAAATTGCATTATAGGTGACTTAAGTGTGTAAATGAGATTTACACGCAGGAGATTTGGGCTCATCGGTTTCTTACACCTTGGCATTGTTCACAGTCAGTGATAAAAGTTGGACACTTTTATCTATAAGACTGTAACACATTTGACCTCTATAAGGGTTGGGTACTTTTATCTATGAAAATGTAACACACTTGACCTCTATAAGATAGGATGGTTTGTCTCGGCCATTGGGGTAGTAGACTCTAAGGTAGTGTGTTAGTGTGTTTGGAGTACATTGAACTGGATTACCATAATATCACACCATACAATGTATTGTCGTTATTTTAGTGTGTTTCTTATCTACTAAATTCATAGACTCTAAATCCTGAGGGATTTAGTGAACTCAAGTTTCAGTATTAGTTACTTTGACTTACCAATGTGTGAGATCTTTTTAAGGTCAATACCACGGTATCTTGGGTTATAAATGTTGGAGCTTTGGGAACACAAATGCTCAACATGGAATCCACACTCTTTATAAGAGTTAGAAAATTCCTTTGATGCAATTTAATAAGTTTGATCACTGGAACTTGGCTAGGGCATTTTAGTAAAATGTTTACTAAATTATTTTTTTATTATTTATTTAGAAAAATATTTATTTTGAAAAATCATTTCTAAAAGAATTTAATTCAGTGCTCATAAAGATTAAGTTGGTTACTCAAGGAATATAAAATATAAGTAAGCCTTAGGTGGGACAATATATATTTTCCTAGGGCTACTTATGAATATTCGGTAGTGGATGGGCTCATATGGAATTTTTTAGTACAGAGGGCCTTGCAGTAATTTCTAAATCCTAGGGTGCAGTTACAATGCTATTTGTGGTGCTTATTGTAATTAATTGGAGCTAGGATAAAGAAGCCCTCTTGGATCCCCATCTCTAGTCCCAGACTTTTTAACTGATTCTCTCAGGTCATATATTCTGCGAGATAGCGATACAAAATATTGCATCGTACATTATCCAGAATACAGAGAGTGAGAGAGAAGGTTAGGATTCCACACACCTACATTGGGGTCATAAAGGTGAAGACTCATTGGTATTCAAGGCCAAAGAAGAAAGTGTTCATTGGAGTTCAACGCCAAAGAATAGTGTTAACGTATTCGATGATTATTCAATCGTCAAAGGGAATGGAATTTTAAATTCTTACTCCCCAAAAGTGACATATAAATTGGGACAGAGGGAATGGAATTTTAAATCATACTAGACTATTTTTCTTATTTTCTTTTATTATCTTAAATTTCCTTAAAAACATAATTTTAAATCATACAAGACTATTCTACTTGTGTTCTTTTCATCATTATTGCCTAATTCCATATGGTGTCAGCCACATGAATTCTCTATGTCCATTCATTTCTATCACTTACCATATCACCTACTATGTATAACTTTTAGAATAATTAATAACTTCAACTCACATTATTTTTGGTCTCCCTCTTCTTCTCTTACTTTTTATGGAAATTAAACTTCCTCTTCTCACTGGTGCATCTATACATCTCCGAGGCATGTGCCCAAACCATCTAAGTCTACTCTCTCTTGTTTTCTCGTTGATGGGTGCCCCACCTTTTATTGCGCATTATTTAAAAAACTACATTAAATAATGTAATGGATTTAAGCAATGAAATGGATTTAAGCAATGAAACACTCTTCTGTATTTGTGTTATTTTCTCTCAAATTTCCTGTTCTGTTTTATTATATATATTTTCAATTACTTTGTATGGCTTGTCCATAAACACGTATTATATTGTAAAGGTCCATTGAACAACAAAAAGATATATATTTGAGGGAGAGGCTGCTCATATTTGGGGGGTAAAGTTCTCCATTCTTAGTTCCTTATTGTGTAATAATGTATTGGGGATTTTATGGATAGCTTGAGGATTTAGAGTTTCCTTTTCTGTTTTTTTGGCTTTTGCATATGGTATGCGGGGTGCTCTTTGAATAAACTTGACTCATTAAAAAATAATAATAATCCATATTGGGATGACTGTCCAATAAAAATTGGTTTGAGAATTTTGATGGAAAGCAAGAGAGCATAGTGTAGAAGTCTGTGAGATGTATTCTATTAATATCATATACCTCGAAAAACTTTATCCTCCTCCTCTAGCGAATTGAGATGAGAAATTGAATCTTGTCCGTAAGCTTGGCCTTGGAGCAGTAACTTCTGGAATTGATCCATATGTAAGGTTTGGTGCGTTTTACTTTTTTTGCCAGAAGGTATCCACCCTTTAAATAGGTTGATAGTGCTTGAGGACATGCAACCAATACCACTTCGGCACATCGGTCATGAAGTACTTCAACAACATTTAATGTTATATCGATGAAATTATGTTGGTGTCCATTTTTTAAAAGATTGTGCACCTTAAGGATTTTGATATTACATCAGTTTCATTTAGTAGCAAGTAGTTTCATTTAGTAACAATCTAAACTTTTTGTGCTTCCTTTCCAAACATGTTTCTTTTAATCCAGATTTCACTCCATGAATTTCATGGTTTTCAGGATAAAAGGCAGTACTTTTAAGAATTGTTCTTGGGTGCTATAGTTTTTTTTCTTAGATTATTCATTTATTATTTATTTTTACCTTCACTTTGCCCCCATGTGGCTTTTCAACTATCAACCTTAGATTGTTTATTTGTTGCATTGTTATTTTTGAAATATGCCTCTTAACAAAAATTACTTCCCTTGCAAATGTTTTTGTTTATTTGATATTTACCATTTTTACTGCACGATGTTTTGTCTTTTTTAATAGATTTAGTGTTAAAAAGTATTGTGGTATTGTGTTATGTTATATCTTAGTTTTTTTGTGTCTGCTGTCAATACAAATTATGTTTAGGTTTTCTGATATGGTTGTTGTCTAATTGATGTTTAAAATTCATAGGCTTTTCTTTTGACCCAAAAAATAATTTATTTATTTTCTTTTCAGCGCTCATAAGCAGGCTATACTACTGGCAAAATATGATGGTGAGCAAGAAAAGGCTCTATGGGAGGCTCTACGGGAAAAATATGGTGATTAGCACTACTAGACCTTGCAAACCTTCTATGGGGTTGTGTTAACGATTACTTATGGTCTCTTGGTTCTTCAAATTTATTGGAAGAATAATACATAACTTGATGTTTGGAGGATATTTCATTATCACTGCAGACAATTCTAACAGACACATACTTTTGAGTGGTGACATTGAGAAGCAACCACATATTGTAACCTTGATTCTTGATATCATTAGAAAGCTTGCAAGAACAGAAGAACTCATACTTTTGACAGCTTGGGGTCTTCAAGAAAGGCAATGAACAGTGGCATCTGATCTGGACTCTCTTTGATTTTCACTCTAGGCACACAGAGAAATTCAACACTAATTTAAGCAACTCAAGAGAAGCTGAAGAACCCTAACAAAAAAAAAAAAATTCTCTCATATCTTCTGTATATATATGAAGCTCTATGCATTGTCAAGTTCTGCATGAGAGACTCTACAGGGGACACAACCTCAGACGTCCAATTTGACTCCACAACTTAATTGCAACCGTTGGATCAAATGAATGATTGACCGCACATTTGTTGCCCTTCGATCTTTGTCACAATATCAGCAAAAAGAGTGTGTACCCGTTGCTCCCTTCAACTGAGAACCAAACAGCCCCTTTGGATCAGTCTTCTTTTCGAGTATCCACTTGAAGCTGTCTCAATTTGTAGTTGGGAGACTAATAGTTGACCCAACAATTTGTAGCCGTTAGATTTATTACCAAGTTGACCCATATGACCTTTAAACTTCTTTTCTTTATATATTTTTATTATTATTATTATTTATATGTATTAGACAGCATTCAGAAAGGAAAGCATCCGGAAAGTTACACTAGTGCCGAAGCCAAAAAGAAAGAATTCAAGGAGCTCAAAAAATCAACTATATCCTCTAAAAATTTACAATTTCTCCCCCAACTTAAAAGAAGATTCCTCTTCTATAAATGCACCACCAAACACAAAATAGTGCCACCCTTTGAAAACCATGAGCTTAGGGCCCCCACATGGCAACCACTCCAAACATTGATTAATCCTCTCGTAGACTTGGGCACCCACTGAACACCAAACAATCCAAAAATAAGACACCAACAGTTGTTAGCCATGGAGCAATGCAAAAGAATGTGATCAACGGAGTCCCCATCCCTTTTATACATGCAGCACCAATCAACACAAAAATAAGACACCAATAGTCGTGAGCCGTGGAGCAATGCAAAAGACGGTGATCAACTGACTCCCCATCCCTTTTATACATGTAGCACCAACTAACATAAATTTGTCTGCTCCTTCTCAGGTTATCAAGTGTCAAGATCTTGCCCTGAACTACTGTCCAAACCAAGAAGGCTACTTTAAGGGGGGCCTCAAACTCCAAACTACCTTCCGTTGGAAGTTAACCCCAGAAAAGCCGGAAAGACAATGAAGAGAACGGACCATTGAGTTCCTGCCTATATAAAGGCTCTAGAAAGGCAGAAACATCATCGAATTCACAATCCTAAAAATGTCGTTAAAATTGCACATCCAAAGTTGTCTTATTATCAAAACGATAACAGTTGGCCACTAAGGCTTGTCTATCAACGACAATCGTGAAAGACTTGGGAAAAGAACAAGTCAGAGTAGTCTCCACACCCTCTTCCCAAATATAGGTACTACTACCATCTCAAACTCTGAATCTGATGTGTTTAGAAAATTCACTCTAACCATTCAAAATAATCTTCCAAACGCCAACACTGCCAGCTAAACGAACTGCTCGAGAGCACCACCCGCCTTCCTCCTCCCCAAAATGACAGAGATAACTCTCCTCCATAATTGATGGTGCTCACCACTAAATCTCCACAACCACTTATCAAGGAAAGCCCTATTGACTCGATAATGTGCTTTTCAAAAGTGTAACTTTCACTCCCTTTGAGAGATTGTCACACCCCAAATTTTAACACAAAGACTCTTTGTCTTGTATGTAAAATCTAATGTATAACTTCCACCAATTTTCCACATACATCCATCATAAAATATAACTATAATGAATCTCATCATCCAATTTATTAACATGAGTGTTTGACAAACATAAATCAAATCTATAAATAAAGGTGAAAGTCCCTCTAACACAACAAAACATCTAGTACCACTGAAACAACTCGATAAAGTTTCATAAAACATTAACTTTATTACAATAATCATAATAAAGGAAAACTGAGCTAAAATCCGACTTTGACATGCGTCTCCATCACGTTCCTACTCTACAAGCACCTGGAATGTGATAATGGGTGAGCTCACAAGCTCAGCAAGAAATGCTAAACACAATCATTGTTCAGCAAGCTAACCTTATTTTGTATTCCCATATATATAAGCAACTCAATAAATGCATTAATTAATTATGCATGTTCTAGTTAATTATAAACGCAATCAATGACCATCATTTATTTTTGATAAATCTGTATATCTCACATGAGCCTCGGGCTCCCGTCCAATAAAGTGGTGTGAATCGTATCGTTCCTGACTACCAAAAACACACGTGTGGCTGGATTGTACGTCTACTCCCCAGATGATCCCTGATCACGTCTACACAATAAGGGCTCATTAGACCCATGGCCATAATAAAAGGATAGTGCACTCCTAATAGGCAGGTCCCTGACCATACCCAAAAGTCATCATAGGGTCAGTCCCTGACTACCCTTCCGACTAATCCAAATTCATCCATTAATTATTAATTATGATGAATTATAAAAGATATCATTAATTAATAATTCAAATTAATAGTTAATGCACCCAAATATCATTTTAATTTAAAAACAGAACCCTAATGATCCAACTAGTGAGAGTACAAAATTTCTGGATAAAGTCTAACATTAAATATAAGACCTTGCAAAATTTCAGAATCTAACTCCTAATAGTTTTTCCGTACTCTCCCTTTTAGTGTTGAGAAAATAACAATATTTTTCATGGTTTAATTCGGTAAACCTACCCAAATATCATTTAAAATATTGACTTTAAACAAAACTAGGTTCAGTATATAAATATATAATATTCTGGAAGTTTTCATAATTTTTTTTGAAGCATTAATATTATTTATATTCCTTATTTATCACTCAATCAAATAATAACTAACAAAAATAAATATTAAGTATATTATTTTGTGATGTTGGCCCACCACTACTCACCATTAATGCCTGAGAATCACACGTCCCTCCCAATATGGTTCTAAAGTACCACAGAGAAACTAATTTCAATAGGTATATATTTATATACTCATAAAACTTCATTTTCCAATTTAATTCCATATATATATAAATTGTACTCACATGCTAATATGCTAATCCACTTAATCATGTATTAAAGTGAATATATATATGCGCACACACACACACACACACATATATACCTTTTAGATACCATTCTAAGTTCAAGTTGACCCAAAAATCTATATTACAACTTATTAAATTCATGGAAACTTAATATAATTAATTCAAGATCTTCAGCTCTTATTTGCCATGACCTCAAATCGTAATTCACCTTTATCCATTATGTATTCATATAACAGTATGAACAGAGTACATCAATTATTAATTCACATGATCATTACAAAATTCCCAAATATATATATTTATATAACAACACGTTAAAATAGTTCCACATAATAATATATACCAATCAATTACCCACTTACCCCTTACATATATACATACACGTGCAGGTCCTACGTAACTACCATGACCCATAATGATCGTCATAACACTACAACCAATTAGATTCCATAATTCTACATAAACATATCATATATATGTCTAGGTTCTAATTACACAAGGAATGAAATTCATACCATTAACCATTCATATTGATGAAATTATTCTTATTTATCATCACGTTAACACATGCTATAGACAAAGTTACAAATATATACAAGTATACAAAGCAAGATTAACTTGCCTGAGTACGCAACTCTTTCTTTCCTATGTAAAGATTGGATCATCGTCCCTTCTCCCGGCTACTGTAGAAGGTAAGAAGTATCGATAACTTCTGTTTCTCTCTTTCTCCCTTGTTTTATTTCTTCCTTTTACGCAATAGGGAAAAAAAATAAAATAAAATAAAACTAATATAAAGATAAGAATATCGGTAGGTGAGCTAATTTAGGATCCCCATTAAAATTTCAACTTTTTTTTTTTTTTTTTAAAAAAAATAACCTATTATCTCTAATATTCCTTAAAAAGTCAACTAAATAATAAATATTCCTAACAAAAAAAATACGGATATTACATTCTACCCTCCTAAAAAGAAATTTCGTCCTCAAAATTTGCGTACCTTATTCGAAGAGATGTGGATAATTTCCCTTCATTTCTGACTCTAGCTCCCAAGAAGCCTCTCTCTCATCCTGATGATTCCACTGCACCTTCACTAGAGGTATATCTTTGCCCGCCTCAACTGTTTCACCATACGATCAACAATTCGAATAGGCGTCTCAACATAAGTTGTATTAGAGCACAACTGAACCTCTGTGCAGTCAACAACCTGTGTTTCATCCCTCAAGCACCTCCTTAACATGGAGACATGGAAAACATTATGAACAGCAGAGAGTTTGGGTGGTAAAGCCAATCTATATGCCACTTCCCCAATCCTTTCTGTGATCTCAAAAGGTCCAATGAATCGAGGAGCTAGCTTCCCTTTCTTTCTACCAAATCTTGTAACCCCTTTCATTAGTGATACTTTTAAAAACACTAAGTCTCCCACACTAAACTCCAAAGCTCGACGGCGTCGATCTGCATAACTCTTCTGTCGACTCTGAGCTGTGCGAAGTCGATCTCGAATGATGGCAACCTTCTCCGTAGTCTTTTGCACCAACTCTGGCCCCAAAAACTACTATCACCAACCTCGGCCCAACATACAGATGAACGACAAGGTCTACCATAAAGTGCCTCATACGGTGCCATGCCGATACTAGCCTGGTAGCTGTTATTATAAGCGAACTTAACCAGTGGAATGTGATCCTCCCAATTACCCCGAAAGTCTAAAACACATGCACGAAGCATATCCTCCAAAACCTGATGACCCTCTCGGACTGGCCATCAGTCTGAGGATGAAAAGCAGTACTCAGACTCAAAGGAGTACCAAAAGCTGCATGAAAACTACCCCAAAACCGAGATGAAAAACGAGGATCACGATCTGAAATAATAGACACTGGCACTCTATGGAGCTTAACTATGTCTCTGATGTAGATCTTACATAATTCATTTAGCTCGAATGGGTAGAAAATGAGCTGATTTAGTCAATCAGTCCACTATCACCCACACTGTATCATGGTTATGTATCGACCTCGGTAACCCCACAACAAAATCCATCATCACATGCTCCCATTTCCACTCAGGCAGGGGCAAAGGCTGTAATAGTCCTGCTGGTCTCTGGTGCTCAGTTTTCACTTGCTGACAAGTGAGACATCTAGAGACAAACTCTGCCACATCACGTTTCATGCCTTCCCACCAGAACTGCCTCTTAAGATCATGATACATCTTAGTGCCACCTGGGTGCACTGTGTACCTAGAGTGGTGTGCCTCTTCTAAAATCTCTCTCTTGAGGTCCACTAAGTCTAGAACACATAGCTTACCTCGAAATCTCATACCACTATTAGCTCCATACATCCAATCGACATTACCCTCATCATTAACAGCATCACCTACTTTATTTTGTAACTTTTCATCCTGAGTTTGAGCATGAATGATCCGACTGATCAAAGTAGGCTATACGGTCAAATTACAAAGAAAAGCCCCTGTACCTTGAGAACTCGGCATGACAGAAAACTCTGCCAATGCCTCTAACATCATCCACTCCTGAATCATCATAAAGGCAACTAATCCTCTCGGTTTTCGACTCAAGGCATCTGCTACCACATTCGCCTTTCCAGGATGATATTGAAGGGTCATATCAAAATCCTTGATCTTCTTCATCCACCTCCGTTGCCTCATATTCAACTCCTTCTGAGTGTAGAGGTACTTAAGGCTCTTGTGATCAGAGAATAATTCAAATTTCTTGCCATACAAATAATGCCTCCACACCTTCAATGCAAGAACTACTGCTGCCAACTCTAGGTCATGTGTAGGGTAATTCTACTCATGTGGCTTAAGTTGCCTAGACGCATACGCTACCACCCTATCATCTTGCATCAAAACACAGCCAAGACCTTGAAGTGATGCATCTGTGTAGATCACAAATCTCTCACCACTAACAGGGATGGTAAGAACTGGTGCCGAAGTCAATCTCGTCTTCAGTTCCTCAAATGCCTGCTCACAGCGGTGGTCCCAAACAAACTTCACATCATTCCGAGTCAAACGAGTCAAAGTTGCAGCAATTTTGGAGAAACCCTTAATGAAACGCCTGTAGTATCCTGCCAGTCCCAAGAAGCTATGAATCTCAGTGACAGTAGTAGGCCGTTTCCAACTCATCACAGCCTCCACCTTGGCAGAATCTACTGAAACTCCATCCTTAGAGATCACATGCCCCAAAAACTGAATCTGCTCCTGCCAAAAGTCACACTTCTCAAACTTAGCATAAAGTTGATGCTCACGTAGAGTCTGAAGTGTAATGCTCAAGTGTCTCTCATGCTCTTCCTTAGTCTTGGAATATATCAGAATGTCATCAACAAATACCACAACAAACTTATCCAAGTAAGGTTGAAACACTCGATTCATCAAATCCATAAAAGTTGCCGGGGCGTTAGTCAACCCAAAAGGCATGACTAAGAACTCATAAAGGCCATAACGAGTCCTGAAGGCAGTCTTGGGAATATCTTCCTCCCTAATCCTCAGCTGATGGTAACCTGTACTCAAGTCAATCTTAGAGAACAACTGCGCCCCTCTGAGTTGATCAAACAAGTCATCAATGCGTGGCAATGGGTACTTGTTCTTAATAGTGACCTTATTCAGTGCACGATAGTCAACACATAAGCGGAGTGACCCATCATTCTTCTTGACAAATAGAACAGGCACTCCCCAAGGTGATGTGCTAGGTCGAATAAACCCCCGATCTTGTAACTCTTGAGTTTGCTTCTTCAACTCACTCAATTCAACTGGCGTCATTCTGTAGGGTGCCCTAGAGATAGGTGAAATACCAGGAGTGAGGTCGATACAGAAATCCATTGCCCTCCTAGGAGGCAAACTTGGAATATCCTGAAACACATCTGCATACTATGACATTGTAGGCAATTGCTCTATAGTCACACATTTCTTAACCACCTCAATGTGGGCGAGAAATCCCATAGTCATGGTGCCCTCGAACTCTCCACACTTATATCGAGAAAGTGACTGTCTCGGAATTGAGAATACAATAATCCTCTTATAATAGTCCAACTGAGCATGATATCGAGCCAACCAATCCATACCCAGTATAGCATCAAAGTCTCTCATACGCAATACTATCAAATCAATAGGATACTCCAATTCCCCAATTATAATAGGACAAGCACAACATATTCTATCAAGTGTCGTCGCGCTCTTGAGTGGAGTTACAATAGATAATGAATTACTCATATGTCCAAGTTCTAATCCCAGTGTCTCCACAAATGATAATGCAATAAAAGAATATGAAGAACCTGAATCAAATAGTACTCTAGCTATACTGCCATAAACAGTAAGTGTACCTTCCATTGCTGGTGGTGCACGGTCCTGTCTCCCATCCGGGACAACTGCATTAAACCTTGCACGTCCGTGTTGTTGTGGTGCCTGGCCTCTCTGCTAGTTATTTTTGTGAGGCTTGGGACAATTACGAGCCAAATGTCCTTGCTCACGATAATTGTAGCAATACCCGCTGAACTAATATAGCTGTGCATCATGAGGTGTGGCTGTTACTAAAGCCTTGGTTTGCTCACCTTCACCAACTCTTTGACGTTTCCCAGCTCGCCAATCTTGTCTCCCTCTCTGCTAAGATTGACCCTGCCAGTTTCTCTGAGTCTGCTGCTGCTGATCCCTCTGATTCTGTTGAAAGCTGCTCTGATTCTGTTGAGAGCTGCTAGCCCCCTTACTTTTCTGTTCTGCCCTATGCTCTTTCTGTTTTTAAAAGGCAATGATATTATTCTCCTCTACCGCCATGGCACATTCCACCACTTTAGCATATCTATCACAACGATGACCCAGCACAAACTTTTTCACATGAGAGATCAACCCTCGCTCAAACTTTCTAACCTTGTGCAACTCATTTGCAACAATGTGAGGAGCGAATCGGGATAGCTCTGTAAACGTCCTCTCGTACTCACTGACTAACATCTCATTATTCTGTTCCAACTGCATAAACTCAGTTGCCTTCTTCTCCCTCACTGATAGTGGGAAGTATTTGTCGTTGAACCGAGTTTTAAAATCATCCCAGGTCATAGCTGTAATGTCCACAACCATCCTGGTCTCTGACTGCCACCACTGGCGTGCCTCACCAGATAAAAGAAAAGCACCAATCTTCCTTTTCTGCACCTCAATGCAGTCCATCATCTCAAAATATTTTTCCATATCTTCAATCCACTTCTCGGCATCAAGTGGATCAGTAGGTCCGACAAATTCAACAGCTCCCAATTTGCGTATATCTCTGATAAATCCAATCATAGGATTCGGCGCATAAGGTTCATCCTCCAATAGAACATTATCATGGTCAACACCACCACGACCAGCACCTCCTTGACCTCTGCCTCTAGCAGGTCGTCCTCTGCCTCTTCTAGCTCCTGACATCCTATTTCCAATAAAGAATGTCAGTGATAAGTCTCACAAGTAACTTATACTTTAAACTAGAGCATGGTAAGAGAGCAAAAATTCGTATAAGTATATGCTCCTATTCTTACTATCACTTCATTTAGCCAGGTAATTCTTAACCTAGGCTCTGATACCAAACTGTAACGACCCACTCCACCACATGGTATGATATTGTCCGCTTTGGGCCTGAGCCCGTACGGTTTTACTCTTGGGCTTCACCCCAAAAGGCCTCATACCAATTGGAGATGACACACTTACATATAAGCACTTCACCTTTTCTCTACCCAGGCGATGTGGGACTGTACACCCGCAGCTCGCTAGTGTGGTAGCTTGACAGTGTCTCTCGCACCCGCCCACGGCACACTCGCCCACAAGGTCATCACAATCCACCCCCCTTGGAGGCCTGACGTCCCCGTCGGCACACTTCCGGCTGGGTCAGGCTCTGATACCAAACTGTCACACCCCAAATTTTAACACAAAGACTCTTTGTCTTGTATGTAAAATCTGATGTATAACTTCCACCAATTCTCCACATACATCCATCATAAAATATAACTATAATGAATCCCATCATCCAATTTATTAACATGAGTGTCTGACAAACATAAATCAAATCCATAAATAGAGGTGAAAGTCCATCTAACACAACAAAACATCTATTACCACTGAAACAACTCGATAAAGTTTCATAAAACATTAACTTTATTACAATAATCATAATAAAGGAAAACCGAGCTAAAATCCGACTTTGACATGCGTCTCCATCACGTTCCTACTCTACGAGCACCTAAAATGTGATAATGGGGTGAGCTCACAAGCTCAGTAAGAAATGCTAAACACAATCATTGTTCAGCAAGCTAACTTTACCCATATATATAAGCAACTCAATAAATGCATTAATTAATTATGCATATTCCAGTTAATTGTAAACGCAATCAATGACCATCATTTATTTTTGATAAATCTGTATATCTCACATGAGCCCCGGGCTCCCGTCCAATAAAGTGGTGTGAATCGTATAGTCCCTGACTACCAAAAACACACGTGTGGCTGGATTATACGTCTACTCCCCAGATAATCTCTGATCACGTCCACACAATAAGGGCTCATTAGACCCATGGCCATAATAAAAGGGTAGTGCACTCCCAATAGGCAGGTCCCTGACCATACCCAAAAGTCATCATAGGGTCAGTCCCTAACTACCCCTCCGACTAATCCAAATTCATCCATTAATTATTAATTATGATGAATTATGAAAGATATCATTAATTAATAATTCAAATTAATAGTTAATGCACCCAAATATCATTTTAATTTAAAAATAGAACCCTAATGATCCAATTAGTAAGAGTACAAAATTTCTGGATAAAGTCTAACATTAAATATAAGACCTTGCAAAATTTCAGAATCTAACTCCTAATAATTTTTCCGTACTCTTCCTTTTAGTGTTGAGAAAATAACAATATTTTTCATGGTTTAATTCGATAAACCTACCCAAATATCATTTAAAATATTGACTTTAAACAAAACTAGGTTCAGTATATAAAAATATAATATTCTGGAAGTTTTCATAATTTTTTTTGAAGCATTAATATTATTTATATTCCTTATTTATCACTCAATCAAATAATAACTAACAAAAATAAATATTAAGTATGTTATTTTGTGATGTTGGCCCACCACTACTCACCATTAATGCCTGAGAATCACACGTCCCTCCCAATACGGTTCTAAAGTACCACAGAGAAACTAATTTCAATAGGTATATATTTATATACTCATAAAACTTCATTTTCCAATTTAATTCCATATATATATAAATTTTACTCACATGCTAATATGCTAATCCACTTAATCATGTATTAAAGTGAATATATATATGCACACACACACACACACACACACACATACACACACACACACACACACCCATATATATATATACCTTTTAGATACCATTCTAAGTTCAAGTTGACCCAAAAATCTATATTACAACTTATTAAATTCATGGAAACTTAATATAATTAATTCAAGATCTTCAGCTCTTATTTGCCATGACCTCAAATCGTAATTCACCTTTATCCATTCTGTATTCATATAACAGCATGAACATAGTACATCAATTATTAATTCACATGATCATTATAAAATTTCCAAATATATATATTTATGTAACAACACGTTAAAATAATTCCACATAATAATATATACCAATCAATTACCCACTTACCCCTTACATATATACATACACGTGCAGGTCCTACGTAACTACCATGACCCATAATGATCGTCATAACACTACAACCAATTAGATTCCATAATTCTACATAAACATATCATATATATGTCTAGGTTCTAATTACACAAGGAATAAAATTCATACCGTTAACCATTCATATTGATGAAATTATTCTTTTTTATCATCACGTTAACACATGCTATAGGCAAAGTTACAAATATATACAAGTATACAAAGCAAGATTAACTTGCCTGAGTACGCAACTCTTTCTTTCCTATGTAAAGATTGGATCATCGTTCCTTCTCCCGGCTACTGCAGAAGGTAGGAAGTATCGATAACTTCTGTTTCTCTCTTTCTCCCTTGTTTTATTTCTTCCTTTTACGCAATAGGGAAACAAAGTAAAATAAAATAAAACTAATATAAAGATAAGAATATCGGTAGGTGAGCTAATTTAGGATCCCCTTTAAAATTTCAACTTTTTTTTTTTTTTTTTTTAAAAATAACCTATTATCTCTAATATTCCTTAAAAAGTCAACTAAATAATAAATATTCCTAATAAAAAAAATACGGATATTACATACTTGTTCTTCCACCCGGCAAGTATATGAGGATTGCAGCAAGAGAAACAATATCCTGAACCTCCCACACAGAACCAAGAGCTCACGACCAACATTATTTCACTAGTGACAGAACCGCGAGTTCAAGACCTGCATACTTTCACCGATGACAAAACTGCGAGCTCATGACCAACATTCTTTCTTCGGTGAAAGAACCGCGAGTTCACGACCTGCATACTTTCTTCGGTGATCGAACTGCAAGAACCATTCATCCATGTCCAGGTGACATTCAACTAATCCAAACCATGTGAAGACAGTGACAGAGCAACATCATCCATTGAAAACAGCGAGAAGCTCTAAGCCAATGACAGATCTTGAGTATATGTACGACAGTAGCTTGTTGTGACAGTAGGCTTAATTAACTTGAGAATATCTATACTATTATTAAAAGTACAAGGGGTGTCAAGAATTTCAAATCATTAATTTATAAATTAGATAATAAAATAATAAAATAAGTTACGAATTAAAATAATAATCCTATTTAACTCATAATTTTATCTATACTAATTACTAATTTGGTTTTCAATTTAGGTTTCTACCACAAAATAAGTTAAAGAATTTCAAATCATTGATTTATAAATTAGATAATAAAATAATAATATAAGTTAACATTTAAAATATTAATCCTATTTAAAGACAAATTATATTAAAGAGTTTCTATAAAACATGTTTCCTTCTATTTTTTTTTTTTTCCAATGGACTTCTACTTATCACCATAAATTTAAATTTTCTTTCGATAAATTATACATTTATTAATTAATATAAAATATAATAAAGAGTTTCTAAAAAACATTTTGCTTCTATTTCTTTCCAATGGACTTCTACGTATCACCATAAATTTAGATTTTCTATCCGATAAACTCTTACGTATCACATTAAATTTGGAAAAAGAATTAATGCTCTTACATGTTGATGAGTATAGGGTTTGGATCGAGGGGTCAAACAAAAGAATATGACCAGGTAATCTAAGAGAAATAATTGCATTGTTTTGCATTTTTGTTTGAGTGGCGAATTTTTTCAATCTGTTTATAATCAAGAATTTTCTTTATTCTTTTATTTTGGAGGTTTGGATTCAAAAGAATGTTTTATATTTGTTTATTTTTTGAAGTATCGATTTAAAAGAATTTTGAATTCTTTCTTATATTCTATTTGAGCATGTGTATATTAATTTTACCTTTATCGTTATTTTTTATTTTATTTTATTATGAAATTTGATGGAATGTGTTTTATCCTTTAAACATGGGCCTAATGTTTAATTAAGTTATTTAATTTGCCTAAGTTTGATCCACTTAAATTATTTAATTAAGCCTGGTCCAGATGGTTAAATAAAAAAGAATAATTATTCCTAATAAAATATATTTGGAATAATTATTTTTAAAAATAATTATCATAATATAGCCGGCCCGGCCCAGTTATGATATTTCCTTATCAGAAAGGACACGTGTCATCATCTTATGGATCCAAGAAGCCTATAAATAGAGGTCTGGAGGAAGGGAGAAGGGTACACAAATTTAGAGTCTATAAATCCAGAGACTCAGAAGTCCAGAAGGTCCAGAAATGGAGAGAATCAGAAATCCAGAGGGCCAGAAATCCCAAGGGCAAACCTGAAGGCGAAGAACACCAAACACATCCAAAGTCGTGCCGTTCTTCACCAAATTCAACAAATTCTCTCCTCTCTGAAGATGAAGAACAACAAGCACATCCAAAGACATGTCGCTTTTCCTCAAATTCAATAACGTATACAAATTCAGAATTCAGAAGTGTAGAGACTCAGAAATCAAGAGATTCAGAAGTCAGAGACACAAATTCAGAATCCAAACCCAAAAGCAAAGAACATCAAGCACATCCAACAACATGCCGTTCTTCATCAAATCCCACGGTGATCAACAACAAGCACATCCAACGATGTGCCGTTCTTCATCAAATTCCACGGTGATTCAAGAATAAGCTCGTGCAGCCCTTGGATCCAACCAACAACAAAAAGGAGATCGCATCAGAGGAACATTCTTTTTGTAAAAGATATTACAAAGGACTGTACTCAATTATTTCAAATTAATAAAATTATATTATTTGCTCCATATTTTGTTTCTATTGCAGACTTACAAAATTTGTGTGTACAAATT